ACGCATTAGCCTTTTTAAAACTGAAATAAACGACTTGAATTTCTTTTTAGATGATATAGTATACTAGTCCCTCTATTATCTAAAAAGAAATTCAAATCGTTTATTTCATTATTATAAAAAAACTAATGCGTTTTAAAAAGTAGTAGAATATTAATGAGAGTCACTGTATATCAATTGCAACTGTTTCAACAAACGCATTCTCTAGCCAGTTGCAAAATTAAGTCGTTCCGTTTTATTTGAAAATGTTATTCCGTTTTGAAGACTGTTCAAATACTTTTGCGTGCAACGATGTAGTTTAGGCTAATTAAAGAGTCACTCGCAAAGCTACAATGCGAACGTATGCATTCGCTATCATTCAGTTGGAAAGTTTACTTCGTTCGAAACTACAAACGCGATAACTCTTGATAGTCGATCATTTTTCTTTAAAAAAAAACATTATCTTAAAAACAGTTAATATTTTTTAAATAGTGTACATTTAAAGTTGAAGCTACTGCATTATTTCTCGAGAAGAACACTTCTTGCAAACTTTATTAAAGAACTAAATAGTATCGCAAACATGAATTGTATAAGCCTATAATTTTTCAATAGGAAAATGTAAAATGTTAATAGATCTTTTATATTTCAGTGCAATAATAATGATTCTTTCGTATAAAATTATATTTTACGAAAAGAATAATGTCCCGGAACTAGTCTCTTTTTTAACTGCTGCGGTTTGATTTCTATGAAACTTAAAAGTTATTATTATTGCTTTATGTTATTATTACTTTGTGTTATTATTATTATAAAACTTTTGTATTATGTTATTATTATGTTATTATTGAGATACATAAAAATAGGTGCAAGAAGTTTGAAGTTATTTCAATCTTAACAGGAGAAACGGGTACAGTCGGTGTAAAAAATATTCGTTACATCTTTTAAAACAGAATAACATTTTTAACATTAGGCCAAGCGACCTAAATATTTTTTGGGGTTAAGTGTTAAAATGGGGCAATGGTTAAAAAGTTGTTTTTAAAATAAAAAAATTAAAAACTGTTGTCTTCTCATCTTTTTTACCTGAACCTATAACAAAAATTAAAAAAATATATTTTGTAGATCTTCCTAACTTATATACTAGGTGTCCCAGGTTTTGTCGACCAAACGGTATCAGCATACTCAACGAGCGAAAATAAGAAAAAACTGTCACATAAACCTAGGCTGAGGAATGCTTTATTAAAAAATTATAAGAGAAATACTTAACAACAACGGACTGATCGGGAATATTTACATCGTTTTTGGAAATACAGCATGACAAAATTAAACGACCTAGTAAACGTAACTTGGATAAGTAAATGCAAGTAACAAAATGCCACTAACATATTTTTACACCGAACGAAAATCAGTTGATTGTTATTTCGTTTCTTTTTTAATCCTTTAATAAAGAATTTTTGAGTTTATGTTTATATGACATTTTTTCTTATTTTCACTGATAGAATATGCTGGTACCATTCCATGAAACCATGAAACCATTCCATTGAAATCGGTTGATGTCGTTTTGAGTTGTAAACATTTAGATTTCGCGGAAATTGCAGTTTTTCAAGAATATTAAATGTTAACAGCTCATAACCCCATCTACCAGTTTCAATAAAATATTTAGTATGCATATAAGTTAGCGAGATCTACAAAATGTATTTTTAAAATTTTCGTTACAGGTTCAGATAAAAAAGTTGAAAAACATCAGGTTTTAATTTTTTATCGGTCTAATCATCTGCAATTTTTTAGCCAACACCCCAGAAAAATGTATATCGTCTAACCCAATTATGAAAAAGCTATTCCGTTTTAAAAGGTGTACGACTACTCTTTACAACGACTTTATATCTGCAACATATTTTGAGGTTTACTTCCAAGAAAGCGACAGTATCGAGGATTCAACAGGTTTTGTCGCTCAAGAAATTAAAGAGTGCAAAAATAATTTGTATTAATTCGTAAAAATTTGATGAACCGCATTTCAATTTGTAATAATTTTTGTGCAATCGAGTTCGAGACCAGGGATACCTGCTGAAATTGTTGCAAATATTGGATTATATCTAAAGAAGGTTTTAGTTGTGCATCTGATGGGTTTGGATCGGGGTTATTCGAACGTCTGTAGTTTACGAATATTAATAGTTCGTATGCGAAAAAGGAGTCTAAAATTGTTCAATAGAAAAGCAATTAACTTCTACCACGATAACGCTAGAACAAACCCATCATTGACAACTCAATAAAAATAAAAAAGGCATTTAATGCATCCACTTTCTAGTTTGAATGTAAGACCCATTCACAAATATGTTCAAACAGTGTTAATTAGTACTCGTTAAAGGACTGTCAAAATTACCTAAAGAAATTTTTGACTCGTTCAAGTTGGATCTTTTTAAACACATTTGAAAACATAAACTATGTTTATTATATTAAAAATGTAAATAATATTTTTCTTATCAAACACACAC